TGTTTCCACCCCAGGGCCCCCATGTCACCCCCTTCCCAGGTGTGTCCCCACCCCAGGGGCCCCGTGTCACCCCCTCATCAGGTGTCACCCCGAATATGTCCCCACCCCTGCTGCCCCCACCCCCGCTGCCCTGTGTCACCCCCTTCCCAGGTGTGTCCCCACCCCAATGGCCCCCGTGTCACCCCACCCCAAGTGTCTTCACCCCAGCTGCCCCCAGGTCACCCCCACCCAGGCTTGTCCTCATCCCCTTTGTGCTTCTGCCCCAGGTGTGTCCAGATCCTTCTCTGCCCAGGGTAGGGGTTTGTCTAGGAGTTGGGTACCCAGCACGAGTGCCGTACAGGAGCCTGTCTCCCAGGGGCATGTCAGGAATGGACGGTCCCCGCCGAGTGGACAGATATGGTGACTTCCACCTCCCCACATTCGTCTCTGCCTGCTCTGCAACTACCTAAGTCCCCTCTGCACACTGCAGGCAGTGCTTACTGGAGCCTCCTCCAGGGACATGAGCTTGAGGTTGCGGCCAGCTCTTGCAAAGGAGCGGGGAAGGTGCTGGGCCAACGTTTTTAATGACTTCTAACTGTAAAGCACAGAGTGGCTGCCACTGCTTTATGTCTGAATTTTTATTGTAAGACTCAGCCTCTGGGCGGCATGGTGACCAACCTGAAGGCCTGTGGCAGTGGAGAAGGGCCCAGGGTGCTGGGTGTCCTGAGGCCTGGGATTGGGTGGGGCACACAGGAGCCCACTGGTGTCAGTGGGCAGTGCTGAGCTACAAGCTCCCAACATATCCGGCTCCACAGACTCCCAGGGGCTTCCCTACCAACAGCCCATTCTGATAAGGCCAGCAGGGCTGGGGAGCAGCACGGGCGGGATCAACACCTCCCTCGCCCGTCCTGTGCACGTCTCGCACTTGCTTCCACTGCACTGATCGGCCGCATCCTGCATGGCCGTTTGGCATTCGCTGGGTCTTTGTCCTTGCCCGATCCTGTGACTCCGGTTCTGGGTCGCATGGCCACACATCCCGTGTCCCTGGGCCCAGGAGCACGCCCGCTGGGTTTTTTTGGAGAGCACTTCTCTACCGCAGAAACCACGGCCTCCCACACAAGGCAAGCTGGGGGGGGATCAGGCGAAACCATTAAGCAGATGAGAGCGCTGATCCGACCCAGCAAGCGTCCATGGCAGCTGTAGCTGGGGTGCCCCGGTGGAGCCTCAGGGTTCACCTGCCCAGGCCCTCCCCGGCTTTCCAGGGCCAGTGGGTGAAGTCAGCAGGGTCCCAATGGGGGCCGCCATCTGGAGCCACCGTCTCTGCCTCCCCTGGGTCTTCCGCAGCAGCGTGGGCTGGTGCAGCTCCTTCAGAACACGACACTGCTTCCTGTCCACCATCCTGGCAAGGAGTGGGGGCCATTTTAGGGGCTCCGACTCAAGTCCTTTCTGCTTTAATGACTTGTTCCGCAGGTCAGGAAACGATGATCCTCTCGCAGGCCAAGGAGACATACGCAGGCCCAGCGGCGCCTCTGTGTGGCGGACGTGGCCAAGGGCCCTGGAACGTCAGGGTTGCTCTCGTCCACCGGCGCTCTGCTGCTCTCCCTCTTCGGAGCTGAGCAAGGCTCCATCAGCTGTCATCTCTGCATCCTGGAGCCCACTCTCCGTCAGCCCCACACAGCCCCGTGGGTGGGGGCACCATGCTTGACACCCCCAGCTCGAAGCCTGTCAGTCACCCCACCCACCCACCTCTGTCAACCCAGAGCCCCTCAGCCCAGATCCCGTTCTCTGGCACCACCAGCCCTGGCCCATGGGGAGCAGCCACCTCGGAGCTATGGCATGGTGCTGTCAAGAGCAGGGCCCCAGCACCCCCACCTCCAGAGGAGGCCCCAGCACCCCACTCCCTGCCTGTCAGCCACCAACCAGCTTCGAGAAGCTCTCCCAGCAGGGATGGGCTCGGTCCCAGTGTCCCTGCTGGAACATTGAACAGAGCCGTCTGAGTGCCCCAGTGTGGCACCTTCTGCCCAACTGCCTTTCTTCGTTAATCCTCCTCACCCCACTCCCGACACCCAGGCCAGGCCCTGCACCTGCTCCTGGAGCAGGACTTGACTCCTCCACCTGGACCAGGCAGGTCCTGAAAGGCGGGGCACTGCCTGAGGGCTCTGCCAGATCCCCAGGTGAGGGAGATCTGCTTTCCCCATGGGCTGGCGGTGGCTGTGCTGGCACGAAGGGCTCCCGCGAATCTGGAGCTCACCCAGCAAACATCCAGGTGGCGGCAGCGGCTCTCAAGGGGCACTTGTGCTGTGAGCCGCAGAGCCACATTCAGGCTCGTCTGGTCCTGCTACCCGACAGCAAGACCCTTGGCCTGTCAGGGGGTCCACAGAAGATGAGCGGCCTACGAAGCTGCCACAGAAGCCCTTCGGCTTCCACCACACGCCTGCTGTCGATGGTTGGCTGACTGAAGCCCTTTGTTTTCTCTTTTCAAGATTTCCCATGAAGCTAGCAAAAGTAACAAGCTCGGCAACCCTGATCTTCACTGTTCCCCCTCCGGTAGAACACCGCGGCATGGTGGAGCCCAGCGCTTCCCCAACTCGGCCCCCGCTGGAGCAGGACAGGCAGGGGCAGGCTCATCCCACTCCGTTAGAACGCCGCAGGATGGTGGAGCCCAGCGCTTCCCCAACTCAGCCCCTGCTGGGGCAGGACAGGCAGGGGCAGGCTCAGGAGCTGTGGGAACCGCCATGTCCCACCACATGGCCAGAGAAGCTGGTTTGGGGATTGGCATGGCTATGCAGAGATATGACACAGAGTGACAAGTACTCCAAGGCCCCTGAGAATCCCTTATTTGCCTTTTTGGTTCTTCTCTGACATCTAACCTGCATTCTCCGTTCTTGCCCTGAAGTTTCGTGAGACAGCCTTAAATCCCTCTTTAACTTTCTAGGCACGAAACCTCTGCTGCTTACAACCGGAATCCTAAATTAACAGAGAAGTACGGCGAGAGGAGCCTTTTCAGCCTCAACCTATAAAACCCAGCGCAGTTACTCACACAGGTCAAGACAGATGGAGCAAGCCCAGCGCTGTCTACACAGCGGGCTGCCCCCATCACAGCCAGCCAGTGTCTAGAGCAGCTGCCTCCCCAAACACCCTGGCTCCTCCCAACATCGCACGGGCTGTCCTCGTGCTAAAGGCACCGCGAGGAGGAAGCAGCTGCCGCTGATGGCTGCACACACTGCCGTCTGGTCTCTGCAATGTCACAGGTGTAGTCTTCAGATTTGCTTTGATGTAGCGAACCTAACACATGAAAGTAACTAGAAAGCTGTTTTCTCCCTTCCCCTTAAAAAGATGATCTTAGTACACTATGAAGCAATCACTTTTTAAACAATCCCACATAGAAATAGTCCGTTACACATTTTAATCAGACATAACTTCTCTTTTAACGAACACACAGGTTATTTGGTGAAGATTTTCCGTTGAAACACCCTGTAATTGGTGCAAGGTTCACAGAATAATTTTGTCCGTATGAAATCAACATCTGCCAGTTCACACATACACACACATATGCATACATATGAAATATATATGAGAATTATATATCCTTATCGGT